TCATAAAAAAGATCCAAAATAAAGACTCAAGTGATTCTATGGTGGTAGGTTTAATTTTGATATTACCTAAGTATGGGACATTCTAAATCCAGATCCCCCCCTGAAAATATATAGTGTGGATCACCCCCTTGTATATATACAGTAGTATGAATCACCCACCCACCCCACACCCCTGAAAATATCTAGGCTGGATCACCTCCTAAAAATATCTTTGTTGGACCACATACCCCATCCCTGAAAATATCTACAACCCTTGGATAGGTGCGCTTCTAAATCTGTACTTGTCCCCGCTTGGATTTGCAACTGTTGCCACAAAAATCCAATCTAAATAATCTCATCCCCGATGTAACATTTGCAACAAAAATGTATGTTGTAGGTTACCGCAGAGGAGGTTGAACAACGCGCTTTGGATCGACTCATTTCATCAAAACCAATTCAGGATCATTTAAAACTATCAAATACTACATGTGCAAAAAGTAACCTTGTTTAATTCTTGTGTATCACAAAATTCATTCCTCCTACTTACCTTTCTCAGTCGTTTGACTTTAATTTCTTTTCCTATTTCTCTTTTCCTTTGCCAGTACAATCCTCTCTCAATGATCCAGCTGTTAGATCTGCAAAGAAAGCCAAGACAAAGCTCAAACTGAAGCAAGAAAATCTCACCATTCCCACCATCCCGACATCGATACCTTCTTCAGCAAGTGACAACGACTCTTGCCAGTCAGACAATGAAATAGAACTGGAGAGAACTCCAAGCTCATTTTTTGTTCAGAGTTTATCGTCTGTGAAGAAACGTGACCCACATAGCACAAGACAAAATGGCAAACCTGGAAAACAGAAAGAGAACAACTTAAATAATAAATCTAGAAGCAATAAGAAACCTCAAAAGGTATATTACACTGGCTGACATTGACCATATATTCGTGGGTTTGAACTGGTTCAAATTTTGATCAGAGTTTTCGCCATGCCCGCGATAATACCCAGTCAACTTTCATCAACTCTCATGCAACTCTTGTTCTCGTTTGACCAGGACATGCATAAAACTCTCATGCAAACTCTCGTTTCTGAACTCTTATCAACTCTCATGCAACTCTTGTTCTCGTTTGACCAGGACATGAGAGTTGAGAAAACTCTCATGCAAACTCTCGCTTCTCAACTCTCTTCAACTCTCATGCAACTCTTGCTCTCGTTTGACCAGGACATGAGAGTTGAGAAAACTCTCATGCAAACTCTCGCTTCTCAACTCTCATCAACTCTCATGCCACTCTTGTTCTCGTTTGACCAGGACATGAGAGTTGAAAAAACTCTCGTGCCAACTCTCGCTTCTCAACTCTCTTCAACTCTCATGCAACTCTTGTTCTCGTTTGACCAGGACATGAGAGTTGAGAAAACTCTCATGCGAACTCTCGCTAATTAGATCTCAACTCTCGTGCAACTCTTGTTCTCGTTCGACCGGGACATGAGAGTTGAGGAAACTGTCATTGAAACTCTCGCTTCTCAACTTTCATCAACTCTCATGCAACTCTTGTTCTCGTTTGACCGGGACATGAAAGTTGAGAAAACTGACACGCAAACTCTCGTGGCTTCTCAACTCTCATCAACTCTCATGCAACTCTTGTTCTCGTTTGACCAGGACATGACTGAGAGTTGAAAAAACTCTCGCTTCTCAACTCTCGTCAACTCTTGTTCTTGTTTGACCAGGGCTTATAAGCCACTATAGGCCTTAGTTGAAATTTAAACAATCATTAATGATGTTTCAGTTGTTGAAAGCTTTACGTGGAGATTCTGGGATCATTGAGTGTGGATTTGTTGCGTCTGAAGTCACAGAAGCGAAGTATTTCTCAACACCGCTGGAACTGGGGGTAAGACGCGTATTATTACTAATAGACTAAAGTAGCTATCCAATAAACCTAGTTACAGTTGGATGATGATTGATGAATAAAGGTACGTTTACTAATTACATGCTGCGATTTGTCGCGTACGATTCGTATTCTGTCGTATGAAAATTACCGCTGATGCCACAATTCCTCTTCACTTACATTGATGAAAACAGGATTGAACAATCTTGTGCGGATTGAAAACAGGAAAAAAAAAAGAAAAAAAAGATTGAAAAACAGGATTGAACAATCATTGTTCACAGTTGTCAACAATGTTGAACAATATTGTTACACCCGATTCAGGCTCAACAATATTGTTCAATATTAGAATGTTAGGGTTTGTAATCCAAGTGATTATATACATTTTAAGACCTGACCAGGAACGACTGCGAAAAATGCAGCACAAGGTCCTCTGGTAGGAATTGAACCTACGGCCTTGCGATTCCGGTGCAGCGCTCTAACCAACTGAGCTACAGAGGCCAGCTGTTGAGCTGTAACCGTAAGTTCATGTATATATAGGTAATCGGGTGTGCGGGTTGTGATAAGGTGGACTTGAATGATGTGGTTTCTTGCACTTCACTTGGTGGAATTAATTTTAGAATGTTAGGGTTTGTAATCCAAGTGAATATGTGGGCCGCACAACATTTCCTGTTAAACAGCAGGCTCATAATTTTTACGCGTGCCGGTTTATGGCGGCATCTGAAATGCAACCACTTTACACGTGCTTATTCGATTACATATACGTGCATACGAATGGTGCATGACAAATCGCAGCGTGTAAACGTAAGAATGACGTAACTGGCGTATACATTCGAGTGGCATCAGCAGACGCGTCATTTTACGTCATGTCCTGGCCCTATTGTTCTAGTTTATTCTCGGGTTTCATATGACGTCACGTGGGGGTCAAGGGTAAAGGAAGGCTTTTATATTGTTCCCTTGTTCTTTTAAGGCATGTTTAAGGCAGCTTTAAAGTGCGACTAACCCCAACTATGATTTTTGTATGTGTAATATTTGTGTCATTCGAAGAAGAATGTAATATATCTTTATAATAAAAATCCCATCTTGATCAATTTTTTCACTGTCAAAGTCTCCGGATATGATGTCATTAGGTGAATTGCAAATTAGTTTTCCTCTGTTTTTTATAGCAAAAGTTCATCTAATGACATCGTATCCGGAAACTTTGACAGTGAAAAAGTTGACCAAGTTGAGGTTTTTTACTATAAAGATATATTACATTTCTTCTTCGAATGACCCAAATATTACACATAACAAAAATCATATTTGGGGTTAGTCGCACCATAGTCTTTCAAAACATGGTTTGGAAACTCCGCTAAAGTCTTTGTTCTATCTTTTTGTTCGCGTTTATGCAGTTTTGTGCACGGTGCACGGTCAATGAACACACGGTATTTCAGTATAATGAGCGAATCATCCAGTAGCAACGTTTCAGTCATTCAAACCATGCTATTTAAATATTAATAAACCTAAAACAAAGGATGTGCACGTTGTAAGGTACGGCTCAACATAAACACACAGATCATTATAACCGCTTTGAAGTTTACAGACTTTCCAGACCATATCAGTAAACAATATTTGAAAAATACGCTGTCAACGTCATCTGACGACATTCGTTATTAACATCCGGCATAACCTGAAATCGGCCCGATTAATCGTTGTGTGTTTTAACAGTAAACCATAAAAATATTAGGCCTATTATTATATCTATTATTCCTGTCGTGTATCATTGACACCAATTGAGTCCAATTATGCTAAAATACTACGTGATTTAAACGCAAGAATTGATATGTTTTTGAGCCGGAATGATCACGTCTGGGAAGGCTTCCGAACTGTAATTTCGGTTCTGTATCATATTACCTGCACTGAATAAAATCCATGCTTACGAATTGAAAGCTTTCTCCCATAAAAAATAAACTTGATTGAAACACTGACATTCAGATATTTTTGTTGGCAGAAAAATGGTTTGGTGAAAAATCTCGGTCTGGGTGAACTGTCTGACTATGAAAAACAAAAGCTTGCGGAGGTAAGACTGAATCATAAAAAGTGAAATGGCGTAGCCAAAGGCCAGCAGGTGGGGTATAGGCTTTGATCCTTCACATGGCCTCCTGATCTGTTCTTGTGAAAAGTTGAAATCTGGCCAGGAAAAGGGCTGGGGGGCGGTGCAATGTCTCAGAATAATGATAAAATATGCTTTTTCGGGGTAATAATTTTTGAGAACCCTAGAAAATATTTCTCCACAGAGAATGCTCGACCCAGGGGAGCATGTCCAACTCCCCCCCCCCCC